GGGCAAGTTACATTACCTTCTGGAGTCTGTTTCCTCATCTCTTAAATAACACAAATGGTTAAGAAAAGTCTGTTGTACTACCAAAACATACATATATACATATTCATTCCATTCATTCATTCATTCATTTGGAGACACAGTCTTGCTCTTGTCGCCCATGTTGTAGTACAGTGGCATGATCTCTGCTCACTGAAACCTCTGCCTCCCAGGTTCAAGTGATTCTCCTGCCTCAGCTTCCTGAGTAGCTGGGATTACTGTTGCCTGCCACCACGCCCAGCTAATTTTTGCGTATTTAGCAGAGATGGGGTTTCTCCATATTTGCCAGGCTGGTCTCAAACTCCTGACCTCAGGTGATCCACCCATCTCGGCCTCCCAAAGTGGTGGGATTACAAGTTCAAGCCACTGTGTCTGGCTCCAAAATGTTTCTTTAATGTGAATTAGCTTATGTGCAATTGGTCAATAGGGGAAAGATATTATACATGCATTTCCCCCAACATATTACTGATTTGAAGTAATCAGAGGTGGGCTTTCCACAATTAAAAAAAAGGCTTTAGTGGTATGTAAAAGCCTTAAGGAAAAAAATAAAATGTCCCAGCTGTTCTTTCTTCTGGTTTAAGATGATATTTAGTGGCTTCATGTCTAGCTACATTTTCCACTTCATCAAACCATCTGGTAATATGCTAGGATAAATAAAAAAGCTAGAGATTTCCAAGTCTTTTTTTAAAAAAATGTGATTGATAAATCAGGCTACTCCTAGATTAGAATGTTAATTTTGATAAAACTGGTCTAAACTAGATTTAATTGTACTAGTATGTTTATTAGGGTTATGGTTTTTGTTAGGGCTCTTATAAAATTTTGTTAAGTTTTGAGTGGTGTGTTTTTTCTCCATAAACTGTTATTTTGCTTATTGTTTGGCAGAATATCAGGATTTCCAAAAATGCAAGTATGGCATTACAGCAGAAACATCTGGAAATATATAAACATACTGTCCCCATTCCAAACTGCCTTTTAATTCTGAATTTTAAGTTTTCATTAACTGAGAGAATACTTTGAGCTAACACAACGCTACTCTGCTAGACAGGAGTACAGTTTAGTCAATTAAATTAGTGAATATTTTACTGAATTTTGTCTTTATTTAAAAAGTTACAATTCTAGTACTAGTAATAAAGAATACAAAATTAAATACAAATGAGAAAACGATACCTGTATTGCTATTTGGTCTGTATCTGATGCTCACTGGACAGATAAAATGCTAGAAATATTCAATAAGACTTTTCTAAAAGGTGAAATCTAATTTAGAACCTAATAATGATGTTTTAGTTCTCTGGTTGTGGAATCCCACATCTGACTTTGTGTACATGTTTTTGGGGGTCCATTACTTATGAAAGTAGGGGCTATCTTTTTCACAGGATTTTTGTGAAGGTTAAGTGAAATAATATGCATAAGGGATTTAGCCACATTTGGTAAACAGAAAATTCATAAAAATGACAACTATTATTATGTCAGAGTATATTTAAAAAAATGGCATAATTCTTTTTTCCACCTAATGTCGGATCACATGTTAAACATTCAGTTAAATACATTTTATCTGAAAACAAATTCTGAAAAACTTTGTTGAAAAATGCAGAATTACCACAATCAATAAGGAGTCAATGTCTGAAAGTCTTAAAAAATACAAGGTAGTAGGCAATTTTGCCAAGGCTATATACAGTTCAAAAAGTACAAATGAATAACCTAATTTCATAAAATTTTCTCTAGAAAAATACTTTTAATTCATCAGGATTAAAAAATAGCTGATTGTTTATTTTTACTATTTGAAAACAAAGTTAGCACTTACTAATAAATAAAAACACAAGTTTTGATGGAGTAGCATTTATCTCTTCAAAATAAAAACCTAAAGTGAGTATAGTAAAGTCATATTGTGCTGTGGGAATTGCCTTTTTTATGAATTAATACTTTTTAAAGACAGTGTTCCTGGGGCATGGAGAAACAAGAGCAACAGAGGAGAAATGACAGGGAATGTGACTTTTCCTTTTTCCAGCAATTCACCTCTCCCACAATGGTAGCTAGTTCCTATTTCTAGAGGAAAATGCCTATATACATAAAATATATTCAGTTAATAATTCTGTGATCCATTCAACAAAATTATGGCTCTAAGATGATCACTATACAAATCATTGGAGAAAATTAAAAATATATTTTCGGGTTCTGTTTAAGAATAAGAATGAACAGCCAATGTTTTCCTTTGGAGTCCTATGAGCTCTTTTTTAAGAATGGGCTCTGAAAACTAAGTGACAGATCAAGATCCAGTTTTAGAAAACAGGAAAGGGATACGGTAGGAAAGAGAGAAAGAAACAACTCTTAGGGCAGTGGTTCTCAAAGCAGCAACAGCGTGAGTGAGAAATGCAAATTATCAGGTCCCACCCTAGTTCTGCAGAATCAGAAACTGGGTGGGATTCAGGAATCTGTTTTAACACATTTGGAGGGATTCTGATGCGAACTCAAGTTTGAGAACCGCTCTTCTAGGGGATCCTGATTCTATGACCACAGAGGATTCTGGGGCATCTGTTAATGTTTACCCTTTAATTCTTTAAAAATAATTTAATACGAACTTGGATCTTTAGATACCCAATTTATGCTAAAAATCAAAGGAGGATTTCAAATTTTTGCTTGAATTAGTTGTTTCCTGCATGCCTTATGTATTTTTCAGATTAAAAATTAAAATTCTAAGTAAAGACAATGTTAGAGTCCAGCAGGTTGGCAGGCATGGCTGTTTACCCCTTCATAAAGACCAGATCTTGGGTTAGTCTTCAACCCTGTAAGTCCAGAACCCAATTTTATCACTTCAAGGCAGAAATATGCGGGCCTTGGGAAAGCTAAATCAGAAGGCCTGACTGATAACTAGAAAGCCAACTTTTAAATTTACTTTGAGATTGTAACTGCTAATATGACTATAAGATTCAGATCTAATGTTCTTCTTTCCGGGCTAGCTACACAGAAAATCAAATTACAATCGGCTGACTGAAGACACACTGCTTCAGAGTAGAGTTGGGTGCTCTCATTTAGACACTAGCTCCGAAAGCCTGGGGCATCAACATCAACTGCAGGCTCCTAGTCTTCAGGCAAATTCTTACATAGGCGGTTCCTGCCCATAGGGCACTTAGCCCATTGTACTTCCATTTGGAAAATGCTATAAAACAACTAAAGAGGTTGCACTGTCCTATCAGACTTGAGAGGCACACTGAGTCCTTAACTCACCCATTCATTACCACTTATGGGCCAGGTCCTGCGTAAAGCATAGGGACTAGAAAAATATTAAGACAATTCTAACACTCAAAGGACTTTTAGAGGGAGGGGGGAGTGTAAAACTATGTATTACTTCATAACTATAAAACAATGCAGTAAATGCAATAATACAAACATACACGGAATATGAGAAACTCCCAGATGCTACACTTAAAATGGGGTGGTGGACGCTCAGGAAGGTCTTCTCTAAGGAGATGGTGCCCTTCCCGGATGGGGGCAGAAAACCGGGAAAGATACAATTTATTCACCATTGTAATGATTACTTTGTAATGACTGTAAATGTAAACCATTGTAAATGATTACTTCAATGTACTTAATAGTGATATTAGCTTTTTTCATAAAATGAAAATTTCTAATTTTACCTAAAATCTGTGCTAAGTGAGGCATTAAATCTTCTGTGCAGTTTCAAACCGAATTTGGTGGAAAGATATGTAAATCGGTAAAAAATCCAAATCATGAAAGAGTACAAAACGGTTTTGTTTTGCTTAAATTACTTTCGACTAACACAGAAAGAATAACTAAAAGTGTGTGCCAAACAGAGCTCTCAGGATTGAGCTTTGACCATTTGGCACAATTTTTATTTGAAAGTAATTTATTTGAACAAAATTAATCTCATGCCACTCTCATTTGAACAGTGACTTCCCTTAATGACTATCTCGTAAGGTTTCTGAAAGCAGTTTGTTATACCAAGGAGGGATAGAAGCGGTAATTTTCATGGTTTTCCAGTTTAATATGTACTTCTTAGAGTACGGGGAAAAGGCAAAGAAAAAGCAAAAGCAGGAAATACTATTAGATAAATTAGCCTAGATTCTGTGGCTTCCTTTTCTAAATCTCTTGCTATGAGATTTAAGTTTGTAACAATTTCCTGTAAATAAAGACCTCGGTAAAACGTTAACTCGCAAACAATAAAGCCTAAATCGTCTCTGCATTCTCATTTTCAAAGCGAGTGAAAATACAGATGCGATGCGGTTACTGCGGCCCCTGGCACTCTGCCTCAATTCAAAAGTTAGCACGCTGCGCTAAGGTGGCTCTGAGCACTCCCCTCAGACCCCGCTTCCCCCCGAGAGGAGCAAGAATGCACCACCGGAGCCCCTCCCCTCCTACTCCTTACAGTTCCAGCACCGGTCCGACGCGAGGGCTTTGTCCGACCTGTTCCACCTCCCACCCAGTACACCAGGAGCGAGAACAGTCGCTCCTCCCGCAGGGCTGTGCGGGCGCGCCTGCGCACAGGGGCGCCAGCCGGCCAACCAGCGCGCGCCGCACCGCCCGGCGTTCCCACCTGCCCTCGCCCCACTGGGCGACAGGCTCTGACGGGCTCCTAGCCTCAGTGCTCTCTTAGCTTCCCCTAACCCTGAATTCTCAGCCTGGCACGCACAGCTCCACCCGCCCCCGCGCTCCGGCGACAGCAGAACGCTCAAGGCAAGCCCGGGCAGGGGGACGGGCTGCAGGTGACGCCCTCGTTGGGCTGCAGCGTGCCAGGCCTTCCCCCGACAGCGCCTGCGCGCAGCCGGGGCGCGGATTCAACCTTCGGTGGTGCCCTGCCCCTAGCTGACGTCAGCACCCTGGTGACGGCTCCACCTTTCTCGCGCGCACCGAGGTCCCCGCTTCTCCGCGTCCTTACCGGCCGCCCTGAGGGCTCTCGGCGTGCTCGGCTGAAGGCGCGCTCCGAGGTCCCCGCTTCTCCGCGTCCTTACCGGCCGCCCTGAGGGCTCTCGGCGTGCTCGGCTGAAAGCTTTAGGAGGCGTGAGTTAGCGCTCCAACTAGGCCGGAAGGAATCGAAAAATGATTGGCCAGCAGGTGGTGGGTCCTGACCCAAGGCTGGCAGGGAACGGAGAAGGGCAACCGAGCACGCGCTGGATCCTGGGGAGGAAAGGGAAAGCGGGTGCTGGAGGACGCGCGCATGCGCCGTACGGTCCCTCGCTCCGGGCGCCCTGGGGGCAAGCGAGGCTCTGCTGGACTTCTGGAGCTGGTGCCGGGGGACAACTCAGTGGAGAGCCTCGAATTTTAAATGTCTCATTTAAGTATCCCTTTTGGTTTTCGTTGTGTAAATATAGCTAACTTTTAAACGTTTGTTTTCCGGCCTACGTTGACTTTGGCCCTTTCAACACTTATTTTATTTTTTTTTGAGACGGAGTTTCGCTCTTGTTACCCAGGCTGGAGTGCAATGGCGCGATCTCGGCTCACCGCAACCTCCGCCTCCTGGGTTCAGGCAATTCTCCTGTCTCAGCCTCC